GCCAGCGCTCAGGCAGCTTGTCGATTCCTTCCAGAACGACGGGGGCTGGGACTTGAAGAAGTCGTCGAGTGCCTTTCTGACCTGATCCTTTGTTTCGAACTTTTTTCCGTCCAGATAGCGCTGCAGGTGGCTGAACAGCCAGTAGTCAGAAGGAGCGAGGTCAGGGCTGTAGGGAGGGTGAGCGACCATACATCCTACTTCTCCAGCTCGGCCTGGGTCGCCTTTGCAGTGTGAGGTCGGGCGTTGTCATGGTGGAAGTAGATTTCCGCATTCCTTCCACGAGTACGGTCGACGTGATCTTTCAATTTCCGCAGCTGGGTCACGTATGTGAAGCATCAATCGTCTGTCCCTTCTCCAGCAGCTCCCAGAACTCCATGCCTCTTCTGGACCACCAACAGACAGGGAACCATTTTGCGGGTGAAGGTCGGCCTTTGGGGTGGCTTCTGGCTGTTCTCCTTTGTCGACCCACTGCCGCTTCCTCACAGGGTTATCGTAGAGGACCCACTTCTCATCTCCAGTGATCATCGAGTTGAGAAAGTGAAGCCTCTTTTGAAAGTGAGGAGAGAATTGCAGGTGGTCACCCTCTCGAGAGGGGGGCGCTCATAGCGGACAGTTCATGTGGACCCTCGACAAGCTTTGCTTACTTTGCCGAGCTTTCTAGTCCACCTGAAACTTTAGTGCAACCGTTCGAATGATCATAGCTAAGCATGGTCGCCATTTCTCTGGTGGTGAGGTACGGGTCCTCCTCCACGGTGGAACGTAGTACTTCCAAATCCATCGGCCGACCCGACCTCGGAGCATCTTCGAGAGAAAAGTCTCTTTTCTTGAATTTGGCGAACCAATTCTTGCATGTCATGTAAGAGATGACGTCCTCACCGTATGTATCCACCAGCTTGGTATGGGCTTCCTTTGCATTCCAGCCGAAATCGTGGAGCAAAACCAAACAGTGGCGCAGGTACGTTTTGTCACAGTGCAAATTGTGTACTGCAAATGCAAGCTCGGTGAGTGATAGCTAGTGTAATGAAAGAGTATAATGTACACGTCACGCACACGTGATGACGTAATACCAACATCCATGCGAACGAAATAGGAGAGGATCAAACACGTGTATAAGAACTTATGCGACAACCTAATAGTAGCTTCTCGGCTGCCTGCGGCGTGTCAGAGGGCTGGGTTTGTCGCGGTGAAGCTTATACGTGAAGGGTAGAACCGCTTTCGTCCCATATTTGTGGATTCCAATTTCACTGATTGTGGTGTACCTAACCACCTTTAGTTTTTTTTTTCTTCTTTACAACGTCATGACAGCTTGGTGCGTCCCCAACCGTTATTTTTTAGATTCAAATTTTCATATTTGCAAGTGGAAGCCTTCAAAGTGACACCACCAAAACCGGACAACAAATTCGACACAAGTGAGTCTCCAGATGTGTTGATAATAGGGAGACCGAGTTCACGGTCTTTATCAAATGTGTGACCGACCGCTCCCATCCCCAATCGCTTGGATTACCGCGGCCCATTTGGATTGTTTCGGAAAGCGGTCGAGTGTTGCACGGTTCAGCGATTGGTGGTGGATCACGAGCTATGAATCTAGCCTCACATATAGCAAGGAATAGTATTTCAGGTGAAGTATGTCCACGTGATCAACATGCTACAGACATGGTACCAGTCATTGTTGGTAGCTGCCTAGCTGGTCTCATCGTGATCACAATGGTTACATACCTGGTATGTTCTTCTTAAAGTGCAGCTGTACTACAGATGAAACAAGAACGCTCCATTGGCTTTGAGAAGCAGCGACTTCGAGGCTCTACCGAGCTGTTCCTGTGAATATTCATAGCAAGCACTGTCCTCTTGAAGATGGCGACAACCCGGCAAAGGCCGACTTTACCATGGTTTTACCTGCTGGGCAGTCACCCCAAGGCACCCCATCTCGTTGTGGGGAATTGCTGCAAAATGCGACCCCCGATTTAGTCCTCTGGACACCACCTCCCATAACCTGCCAACAACGTTACCAGATTTTCCCATAGATTGCTGTAAACAGTCGGGCGAGGTTAGGGGTAAACACTCAATCAACTATCGAAAATCGTATGACAGTTTCGCGCTGAAAAGTAGACGGATATATAGAGCGCATTAGATAGGAGAAATTGTCAGTCAGAAAAAAATTTCTCTTGACAACAAACTATACCCTTTCCCTCGGTCAAATACGACCCACATAGGTCTCACACACCGAATGGCACAACACTGAGTCATACTAGGACCCACATAATAAATAGGTCCACTTCGTGCCCACTACCCACTCTTCCTTCGTGCCAACCCCGTTTCGTGGGCTACTGTTACTAATGATCTGAGCTAACACTAACGATACCCTCCTCCTCAGCCAGGCACGACACGACCGTAGGATTGAAGATGACCGAACATTGGGAGTTTGAGAACCCATTATTGGCACAGAATCCTTCTCCAAAAGCAGTTGGCACGGTAAATCCCTAAGAATAGTAGGACTGATACTGCCTGGCAGGACGGAATTCCACAACCCTGTCTAGGTGGTGCGTAGCACTTTTTCCAAGGGAGGTACCCTTACAAGGGCCCTACCAAGTAACATACCGACCCGGAACGCCCACCACGCCCGCCCGCCCACAAATGGACGACCGTACTGCTTCATTTGCAAAGTAAAATATGAAGCGAAGGGATTGATATGAAGCGGCCACGGTGCTGCATGGATATATGAGTACATACGTGCAGCCGTATCTACCGTAGCGGTTATTGGCACGATGCCAACGGGAACTCGTCCGAAATTGCTTTCTGAGTCATGAAGAACGAAGGCTTTTCTTTGCAGGTTTTTGACCGTTTCACTTCGTTTTTTCGCCATTTTCCCACTATATAGCACCCTGCTAGCATTTTAGACCGAGTACCAAATTATCGTATATACCCTTTAAGGAGCAGGGCCCGAATAAGACCCTGGAGGGCCCGTGAATGAAGTTGGTTACATCACCTCACTGGAAGGCGATGAAGGCGCCATTTTGTGATGCTTTGAAGTTTCCTTTGTGGAAATTTGGACTTTTTCTTGTCGAATCCTTGCTAACTAACTGGCTCTTGCAGATCTATCGATGCCAACTGCCAACCGAAGTGCTTCAACTCACCAACACCCCCTCAAACCCATCGGACGCGGGATCAACAGATCATTCCAACATTACAAGCACGAACAACAATATTCGGTCGCACTCGATCAAAGACTGATATGAAATTCAGAATGAAAAGCTGTTGCTGTCTCTGTTTCAACCCTGTGGTGTCCCTCTTTTTCATATCAATGTTGTCACTTTGAATTTACTTACTATTCTCTTAGCAATACCATCAACGGAGCCTACATACATATAAAAACCTCAAATAACGAACGTGCAAATCCCATGTGGTGATTGACTAACACCCAGTGACAGCCCTCAATCAAGCGTCGCGGCAAAACAGCGTTTTTCAGGTGAATCTGAATATTCAATGCTGACAAATTCCTTCGCAACAAATAGAATCAATAAAGCTTTCTAGTCGTTTTTTCACTGATTTTCTTCAGTCGTATGAAGCCATAGTTGTTGCTGTCCCCGGGGATGTTGGGTGCTGTTTGCAGGAACGACAGCGACCGGGCATCTTTTCAGGAAGACTCAATTCGTGAGAGCATCCAATCTTAGAAAAAAACGTGGACCATTTGTTGTGCACCACGCGAATGACTGTGAAGTGATATATTACTTCTTAGCTCTACGACAAACAGTTACTGCTAAAACGGGCGTCAATCAAGGCGGTGACTTGTTCCCCAACCCAATATTTGGGAGAGGGAAGGATGGTGTTGAAATTGCAGTGAACTAGATATTTTTCACTTCCATTCAAAGCCAAGCATCTCCACCTATGGAAGGTAGAATGCAACAAATCGTGCGCAGAGGCTTACTCAGAATTTTGTAACTTAAAATATGCGATTAAATCGTCTTGGTACCGAGTTTTCAAGTTTTCAGTTTGCTTGCGTCCACGGCGCACTTACATACGACTGAATGCACGTCACTTGCGGTAGCGCTATCCTGACGATACTAACGAACTAGATTTTTGGGCGCAATTCGGCTACGGGGAGGGGGCATTTAGCACTTTTCTGCCTCAGTAATTCCGGTTTACAAGTCTCACTCTGGTGAAACCTGTTAACTCTTGTGAAGCTGGGCAGGCTCGTCGAGCCACCATGATAAAACCTGTCAACTTGTAAGCACGTCGATGGGAAGTAGCAGAAGTGCGAAATGTCCCGATTTTTGTTCGGCAAAT